GGGCCAGCCCCGCGCAGGCGCACTCGCGGACCTCGGCGCTCGGGTGCTGGAGCTGCGGGAACCAAGACGTCAGAGGTGGGCAGTGAGCACGCGCGCCGCAGCCCCGCTCCCGCGGACGCCCTGCCGCAAGCCTCCCCGAGCCCGGTCAAGCCATCGTCCCACCTTTTCCAGAAGCTCTGCCGCTGGCCCGTCGTCCTCCTCGTCTTCGGTCCCGTTCGCCACGGCCGCCGCCTCGGCCTGACAGCTACCTGTAGGGGAGAACTGAGGTCTCTTGAAGCGCTTCGTCCGACTCTTACCCATGGCGACAGAGGCCGCGAGGAGAGACCGGGAGAAGAAGACAGCAATAGACGATGGGGGCCGCCGGGCCCAACGAACACTTCAGTCTCCGGCACTACCTGGCGTCCTTCCTAAGCTGGACCAGGCTGACGGCCTGAGCACACATGGGAAAACTACGCGCCTGCGCACGGCGCGTCGGGAGCGAGGAGAGGGCGGGCCCAGAGAGTACGCGTGCGTGTAAAGCGGTGTGGGCGGGGTCACCCCTGACAGGGGGTGGAGCACTGACTTTTCCTGGGAATGTTAACACACCTACTCCACCGGCTTCAAGGCTTCTAATCCAACTGTTCCAAAGACCCGTTCTAGCTCAGTGTAACCCAGTTACAAAGAGGGGACTGTCTACCAAAAAGGATAACATTTCTTACTATGCCATGTTTAGGATATAATCACATAAGTGAAGCTCCCGGATGGAAGCTCAAGCCTCTCAACCTGTAGGTGCAAAGAACCCATGGAGCTACCAAATATATATCTTATTTCCTTGATCTCTTATCTGGACACAAACTTCCTGCCATACCCATAGTCCAAAGTAGTCTTCACTTGTCCTGATCATGTGGTTTCTCCATATCCACCCAATGATCTTTTCGAAATATTCTTCCATGGTTATTATATTCATTGTCCTTCTCAAAACTTCTCAGTGGCTTCTCTTCCTCGGGAGAGTTTTCAAAAATTTCGGCTAGGCTGACGAATCTCACTTCACTCCTGTGTCCTGCTCCCTTTAATAATGTTCTTTAGGGCCCAGGGTTTTACATAAGCCTCTTTTCCCAACCTCCTGAATTAGTGAACACAAGAGAATTTTTTTTCTTTTTTTTTTTTCTTTTTTTTTTTTTTTGGTTTGAGACAGGGTTTCTCTGTGTTGCCCTGGCTGTCCTGGAACTCACTCTGTAGACCAGGCTGACCTCAAAGTCAGAGAGATCCACCTACCTCTACCTCTACCTCCTGAGTTCAGGGGTTTAAAGTTAGCCCTCATGTCTGGTTAAGAGGCATTTCTTTATGGGTACCTCTTCTGACTTCAGTCAGAGATAGATCTATCTTGAGACACACCTGTTCTTTTGCTCCATAGCACAATTAAGAATTGCCATCAAAGCTGGGCGGTGATGGCGCACACCTTTAATCCCAGCACTCAGGAAGTAGAGGCAGGTGGATGTCTGTGAGTTCGAGGCCAGCCTGGTCTACAGAATGAGTTCCAGCACAGGCTCCAAAGCTACACAGAGAAACCCTGTCTCAAAGAAACAAACAAAAAAGTCACCTTCTGTTTCTACATGTAGTGGCACAACTGTTGTCTTCCGAGAAGGACAGTCACATCTAGTGAGGACACGATGCCCATTCCCACACATCACTGTCCTCCCAACACTAACTGACTAACCGCCACCCGGCTAAAATAAAAAATTAAACCACCACACCTTTAATCCCAGCACTTGGGAGGCAGAGGCAGGTGGATCTCTGTGAGTTCGAGGCCAGTCTGGTCTACAGAGAAAGTTCCAGAACAGGCTCCAAAGCTACAGAGAAACCCTGTCTCAAAAAAAACTAAATAAATGAAAATAAAAAATTAAATTTAAAAAATTTGTTGTTTTACTATAGGTAGGGATGTATTCTGGAAACAGATTTTTTTAAGTTTTTTTTTAATGGTTTATTTAGCTTTATTCTATGGGCATTGGTGTGAAGGTGTCAAATCGCCTGCAACTGGATCTTCAGACAGTTGTGAGCTGCCATGTGGGTGCTGGGAATTGAACCCGGGTCCTCTGGAAGAGCAGTCAGTGCTCTTAATCACTGAGCCATCTCCCAGCCCCCTGGAAACAGATTTTTTGTTTTTTCAGGACAAGCCTGTATTGGCAGTGCCGTGATCGTCTGGAGTAAATCTCAAGAAGTCTGCTCTCCCTACGTGCTCGTGCCCTCCAGCTCATGTTGCCTTACATTGTATGATTAGCCAATTACCAAAGAGCTCCAATGCCAGTAGTCAGCCAGGCAGTCCTCTGCTTCTAGATTCGCCACTAAGAGGTATGAGAGGTTTCTCCATTTACAAAGACTGGGAGTTTTTGAAATAGCAAAGGAGTGACAACCATTTTAATTATTTCAAAAGGGATAATTACTTTCAAAAGGAAAGCTGAATGTTGACTACCTTCCGAGTAAGGTCTGGGACTAGCCAGACTTTATTCTCAGACTTTGCTGGGGCAGGTGTGGTGGTTATGTGAATGTTGCCAGCTCAGAAAAGGTTGATGTTGAACAGGCTGTTGCCCATTCAATTCCACTTCACTCATTCACAAGCAAAGTCTTTCTGTTCACGTAAAAGTGCTCGTTTCTTATGCTAGGCACTGCTTAGGGAGCTAGAAATAGCAGTTCTACCCTGGTCCTGACTTTAACAAAGTCATTGTAGTAGTACACACCTTTAATTCCAGCACTCAGGAGGCAAAGTTCCAGGACAGCCCATCTACAGTGAGTTCAGGACAGCCAAGGCTACATAGAGAAACCCTATCTTGAAAAACAAAACAGAAGGGAAGCGGAAGAAAGAGAAGGAGAAAGGGGAGGGAAGAGAAGAGAAGGGAGGGAAGGAGAAAGCAAGGAAAGAGAGGGAAAAAGATAGGGAGGGAGGGAAGGGAAGGGAGGAAAGAAGGAAGGAAGAAAGAAAAAGAATAATCATCCTGCCCAGGTGATGGTGGCACACTCCTTTAAACCCAGCACTTGGGAGGCAGAAGCAGGTGGATGTCTGTGAGTTTGAGTTTGAGGCCAACCTGATCTACAAGAGCTAGTTCCAGGACAGGCTTCAGAGAAACCCTATCTCGAAAAAGAAAAAAAAAAAAATCCTGTCTGGAGGAAAAGTGGCACAAGCCTTTAATCCTAGCACTTGGGAGGCAGAGGTGGGTGGATCTCTGAATTCAAGGCCAGCCTGGTCTACAGAGTGAGTTCCAGGATAGCCAGAGCTACATAATGGGACCCTGCCTCATAAAAACTGTGGGGACGGCAACTATCCTGAGGCTAGAGAGATGGTTCAGCACTCTTGGAGAGGACACAGATTCAATTCCCACCACCTACATGGTGGCTCATAACCATATGCAACTCCAGTCCCAGGAAATCTGACATCCTCTTTTGGATTCTGTGGGCACCAGATAGATACACATGTGGTATACACAGAGGCAAAACATAAATACCTAAAGAATTGAAAATAATTATTGCAAACAGAGCAGCACACCCTTTAAACTCAGCACTGGGTGGGTGGTGGTGGTGGTGGTGGAGGGGGATGACATCCCTGTAATCATCCTAAATCAGAAACTTAGACACTGAAGGATGGCCTGAGCCCAGGAATTCAAGATTGACTTTGGAAACAGTGAGGCCTGGTCTCAAAATGAACATCTACAGTACAAAACAAGACACAAGAATGAACAGAAACATAGAAAAGAGGGAAGCACAAACCTCTGGCACTGTAGCAGGAGCCGGAGGGCTCCAAGCACACGTTTATTTATACAGGCAGAGATAGCTCTTCTAGGAGCCAGGTTCTCATCAAACACTCAAACTTCCCTGTCCCCAGTACTAAGGGTCTTAAATTTTCAGCTTTACACTCTTGAAGGAAATTCCCAACCTAGGCCTGTAAGAGCAACATGACATAACCTGCGTCTCCTTAGTAAAAGCCAAGCAATGTTAGACCAGGATGAATAAGACATGAAGAAGGTTAATGGTCTAGAATAGCACTGGCAACTATGTTTGGTCTACAGGACAGAGTTACAGTAAGATAGCTAGGAGCTAGAGATGGTTCAGCGGGTAAGAGCAGTAAGAGCACTGGCTGCTTTTAAAGAGGTTGAGGTTCAATTCCCAGTCCCCACATGGTGGTTTATCATCATCTGTAACTCCAGTTCCACTGTTTCTGATGCACAAGCACAAGGCATGTAAGTGGTGCTCAGACATACATGAAGGCAGAACACTCATACACATAAAAAGAAAAGTAAAATTTCTTATCTGGAATTAGCTTGTATCTAATATACAGAATACATTTACATATTTTTAGTTGCAGACACAATAAACCAAATAAAAACTCTAATCACTGGTTATATATAAAATATTTATTTTTTGCACATATTTACCTACAGAATTTACAGAAAATAAAACAATGCAGAACATATAGAATACCCTCTTAGAGAATTCTTAGAAGCAGAGGGTTTTATTGCTGCAATTCAAAGAATACAATTTATTGAAAGGAAAGTCAAGATGAACAAGTGTTAGTTAAATGGCAGCTTTAATTCAATGGTTTTGCCCTATTATTCAAATTTAGTTTCATATTGGATGAAATTTAAAATATTGCTCATGAAATAATTTAACCTTTTCAAAATCTTCTAATAAACAGGTAAAAAGGCACCACTAGTCCGTTAAGTATTTACAGCAATCCCACAGTTTCGTTTCAAGGGCTACCGTAGTACACGAGGCTGTTGCGCATACACAGTATATCATCATGACTCTCCAGCAGTGAGGACTGCAGGCTCTGGCTTGTGGTGTGGTTCCGGTGTTACTGGTGATGGACTGGGCCCATCAGCTACACCAGGACAGTACTGGTCTAACACGTCTACCTCAGCATAAAATCCAGTCACCTAAAATAACGACCGTCAAATTCCCAGGCAACACATAATTTAACTTGTACATTCAGAAGACTTTGGGGGTGTTTTTTAAAATTCTTTTTTAAAAAAGTAATTTAGCGTTAAATGAGAACTATTTACTGAAAAATATAACAATAGTTGCCAGAATTCAGTATTGGGCTTAACAAAAATTGTTGAAACATATAAAATTTCAACATAATGGAGATGAGGTTTTCTCAGTCTAAGTGGAGCCTGGTATTTCCTGCAGCACAATGGAAGGAGGCGCTGAGAATGAAAGGCACACATAGTAGCCAGGTTTAAAGAGCCATGGAGATGTCAAGCAGATGGTTTCTGAAATACTGATGCAGGAGAGCAAAGTCCAAACATTTTCCTCTTGGTTTAACATTGGCATTGATTTGCTATTTACAGTAGTTTGCAAAAATACATTATAAAAACTGAATGAGGTTTGGTTTCTAAGTTTAACTTAGTAACACGCACACTCCATCTGCAGAACTCTCTGCAGGAGCTGAAGGGCTGAAGTGGCACTAACACTGAACACAGGTACCCAGAGGTGCTGCAGCGCTGAGCTCAGCCATCACCATTGAGATAATCTGGGCAAATATTGCACGCTTCTTGTCAGTTGTTGCTAAACCATCACATATCCAATTCCAAAAGGAATCCTTGGTGGCATTTTGCTGTATCACTTATTTGAAGAAAGACTGCTTTAGGTTCCCTAACAATAGTGCAGATTGTCATTGAACGTGAGGTCTAGGTTTCAAAATTAGCTTTCCTGTCTGTAAAAAAGGAAAAAAGAAAAAGAAAAAGTCAATTCATAGTTCTATTAAAAACACCAGCAGTTAGTTACAGTCTTTAAAGGGAATTGGACGGCCATGGTTTAGCAGGTAAAGGCACTTGCTGCCTACCAAGCTTGTTATCAAAGTCCGAGTGTAGCCCCCAGAACAAAATGGCAGCAGCAGAGAACTACTGCACATCTTTCTCTCTCCCACTGGCACTATGGCATATGGTGTGTGCATACTTGGGTGCCCATGTGCACAAACACACAGGATCAATCAGTCAATAAAAATGTAAAAACTTTCTGTTAAAGGGTATCTAATGGAGCCAGTGAGATGGCTCAGTGGGGAAAGGCTCATGCTGACAGGTCTGACAAAATCAGTTCAGCTCCCAGGACCCAAAGTGGAGGGAGAAAAAGGATTCGTGGGAGTTGTCCTCTCATCTCCCCTGCTTGGATGACATAGTAAATTCCAGGCCAGCCTGTCTCAAAATTAAAAATAATAATAATAAATAAAATAAGAAAGATTCAATTGTCAACCCCACCAATTTGTTTGGTACCACTGACTGCAGCCCTGGCTGGTTTAGATCTTGCTATGCAAACCAGGCTGGTCTCTTCCTCTTGAGTGCAGGGGTTAAGGGTGTGTGCCAACAAGTCTAAGAGATTTCAGGATTTCAGATATAATCTTGTTTTGTTACGATAAGGAATTGCTATGGAGTCCAGGCTGGCCTTCACCCCTTTACTGTGTTTTGTTTTTTGGTGGTGGTGGTGGGTTTTTGTTTTGTTTTTAGACAGTATTTTTATCTTCAGGCTAGTCTCAAATTTGTATACAGCTAAGGGAGAGCCTTAAACTTTGATTTTCCTGATTCCACCTCCCAAGTGCTGGGATCACAGGTTTAAACCATGCCTGATTTCACGTGGTGTTAGAGATCAAACCCAAGGCTTTACACGTGTTAAACAAGCACTCAGTTACAACCCCCGACTGAGCTACACCCCAGACCTTGCTTCACACTCTTCTCTTGCCTCAGCTCCCTTGTACCAAGATTACAGGTGTATGCCACCAAGCCTGACCCACAGGACCCAAAGGTCTGTTTTCCTAAAACTAAACAGATCCACTAAGCATTTCTGTTATTTTGAAACAGGGTCTCACTATGTAGATTAGGGTGGCCTTGAATTTGAAGTAATCCTCTTGCCTCCCAAGGGCAGAGATTATAGAAGTCAACAACCATACCTGGCTACAGGTATATTCTAATGAAAAAATACTTACATCATCACAAGACATATTGTATTCCGCTAGTATCGTTCGGCATCGAGCAGCTATACTGAATCATTGTGGTCAAAGGAAAATTGCCAATGCGAAGCAAGCATCTGTTACGGTTTAGACATGAAATATTGCCCCCAAGGGCTCATGTGCTAAAGGCTAGGTTGACGTAAAGGCTAAAGGCTAGCCATTGGCATGTTGAGGTAACTGAATAACAAAGGGACAAACTTCCTCAATAGATAAATCCACCTATGATTTCATAGCTAAGGGGCGTGGAGCCTAGTCAGAGATGTAGGTCACCAAAGGGGGTGACTTTGAAAGGCATATTTTGTTACTGAACCTTCACTGTGTCTGGCCACCATGAGGTGAGTGGGTTTGTTTTACCCCACGCTTCTTGCCATGATGTACTACTGTCTTACCATGGCCAAAACGCAATAGAGCTAACCAAGCAGGGACTGGGCCCTCCGAAATCATGAGCCATGACAAATCTCACGTATTTTGTCTCGGGGTTGGAATGTGATTAACAAGGCTTCTAACAAGCTTAGTTCAAAGAACAAAATTAAACTCCAGGTAAAGGATACATTGATGGTGCAACTACTCTTTTGTGTATGCCAGCAAAGAACAAGCCTATTAGAGTTATACAGCTAATTGTGAAAAATGGATGATTCCATAAGGATGTGAAGAAGGACACCTGTAAGAGAAAAGGGTGAGATTAAGAATCTTAGGGCCCTACACAGAAATGCACAATGTTTTATCACCTCAACTACAAGGGTGTGAAGACTTCCAACAACTCTGCTTCTTCTTATTGCTGTGCTATGATAAGAGAACACTGCTTTATCTTCTTTGTATGGCAAGATTGCACAGCACTGTCATCCACGCCAAATTCTAGGCCATTTCAAATTCATTCCTATAATCAGAAAACCACCTGACCAAAAAACTCCTCAACTTTCTGTTCAGTGAAGGAACATTAGGTCTTTAGTGTCTTCTTCCCCCGAGCCCCCGACAGAGGTTTTTTGTTTAGTCCTGGCTGTCCTGAAACTCTCTGTAGACCAGGCTGGCCTTGAACTCAGAGGTACTCCTGCCTCTGCCTCCTGATTGAGTGCTGGGATTAAAAGCAGTGCCACCCCAACCCTGCTGGAGGCCTTTAGTCTCAATGAAAACACAGATTAAACCTGATTTAATTACTTCCTTGTCAAAAAGCTTCAAAGCTGGGAACAGTGTTGGTAACGAAACTACCTAATTTCAAGGCTCAGGAGGTAGAGGCAAGTGGATCTCAAGGCCAGCCTGGGCTAATAGCTGCGTAGTGAGACTTTGTCTCAAAAAATTAAAACCAACAAAAGCTACCTTAAGAGAGTGAGGCCAGCTCTGTCATTCATAACAAAGTCCCAGACTAATCTTCATCTCCTGTCCCACCCTCCACACTATGCTAACTTCAATATTAGCTTAATTTCTACAATGCCTTCATTACCTTTGTTTGAAATGAATAAATAATGATTATTTGAATTTTTGTTTTTTTTTAATATTTATTATGTATACAATATTCTGTCTGTGTGTATGCCAGCAGGCCAGAAGAGGGCACCAGATCTCATTACAGATGGTTGTGAGCCACTATGTGGTCGCTGGGAATTGAACTCAGGACCTTTGGAAGAGGAGGCAATGCTCTTAACTGCTGAGCCATCTCTCCAGCCTGTTTTTTTTTTTTTTGGTTTTTTTTTGGTTTTTTTTTTTGAGACAGGGTTTCTCTGCAGCTTTGGTGCCTGCCCTGGAACTAGCTCTTGTAGACCAGTCTGACCTTGAACTCACAGAGATCTGCCTGCCTCTGCCTCCCGAGTGCTGGGATTAAAGGTGTGTGCCACCACTGCATCTATTTAATTTTTTTAATTTTGTTTATTTTAATTTAATTAAAATAAATTTAAAAATTTATTTAAAAAATTTTAAATGAAGTTGTTTTAAAGCTTCTTGAAAAATGAAATAAAAAAATATGAAGTAAAAAAAGTTGCTTTTTAAGTTATTAGAATTGTAGTGGTCATGAACAATGAAGCAACAAAAACTGGTTAGTAGGAATCTGTAAAGACCTGGAGAGAAAGAAAGAACTTCATTCAGACCTGGGCATATTAAGACGACTATAAAAAAATCTGGAAATGCACAGCTCTAAGACTATGTAGAGTTACAAGAATCTAGGATCCATGAACAAGAGAGGGCACAAAAAGCAGAATGAAAACATAGCAAAGTAAAAAGATAAACATGTAGCCTGTCTAGAAAAAGAAAGTAAACAGATTGGTAAGTACACAGAAAAAACACTGGAGGGAAGCACAGTACTCTCTCCACAGGAGAGACCTCACGGTTTATGATGGAAAGTTACACACACACACACACACACACACACGCACGCATGCACGCACGCACGCAAGACAAAGAAATGGACTAGGTATATGATTCAACAAGGACAAATGAAAGAACAATGCTTAAAACACCAGGAGGGAAATATTTCTGAGATGAGGTGATGCTGAAGACAAGCTAAAGTTCTAGAGGACTTCCTTTTCTTTCTGTTTTGGGAAACAGGGTCTTGCTACATAGCCCCTGCTGACCTGATACTTATATTGTGGACATGGCAGCCTAGAACTCAAGCAACTCCTATGCTTCAGCCTCCCAAGTACAGGGAATATAGGCATAAGCCTCCATGCTCGCCTCTGAAGAACTACCGCTTTACAATCTCTGAGCTTTACTGGCCAGCAAGATGGTTAGATAGATAAAGGTACTTGCCACAAAGTCTGATAACCTGAGTTCAATTCCTAGGACCCACATGGTAGAAGAGAGCTAATTCCAAAAGTGTCTTCCGTCTTCCACAAGAGGAGCAAACACACACACACACACACACACACACACACACACACACACACACACACGTAATTTAAGGAAATCTGAGGGGTTTGTTTATTTGTTTGTTTTTTGGAGACAGGGTCTTTCTGTGTAATCTTGGCTGTCCTAGGACTTGCTCTGTAAACCAGGCTGACCTCAAACTCAAGAGACCCTACTGCCTCTGCCTCCCAAGTGCTGGGATTAAAGGTGTGGCTGAAAAATCTGAGCTTTGATTCCTACAAGATGGCTATGTGTCTGGACAATGTTAGCACACACAGTACTCTGTAAATGTGTGTATGGTCTGTGTGTGCACTCACTTGTTCCTCTACTACCTCCACCCTATTTTTTAGGATAAGGTCTCTCACTGGTTGGCTGAACTGGGATCCTTCTCCGTCACCAGCCCTGCCCTCCCCCAGCTCTGGGGTTGCAGACATGGACTGCCTTGTCTGGCTCGACATGATTGTAGGAGTTATGAACTTGGGTCCTGATGCTTACACAGCAAGCACTGAATCATTTCTCCAGTTTTATATAGACTATATTTTATAGTCTAAAAGTTGTTTGTTATTTTACTGTTGCTATTTAGCAACCATGTCTCACCATGCAGCCCAGGTTGGCTTCTATCACTCAAATCTCCTGGTTCAGTCTTCCATAATGTCAAGATTACAGGACTGCACCACCACCCCTGGCTTTATGTTCTTACTTTAATTAGGTCAGCTGTATTAGCCTTCTTCCCTCCAGGGCGACAACCAATGACATCTAAACAGCAGTTTCTTCTTTCAGAAGTTTGCAATATCTTTTCACTCCCTGGCTCTGGTATTCGTATCTTCTGCTTCAGACACAATTGCTGGTTAGAACTCTCATCAGGTTTGGGGTTATTAAATACTGAAGTAAAAAGAGCCAACCCTACGGCTAAAAGCTATCTTCTCACCTAATTTAGAAAATTATATTAACTACATAGGTTTGGGCCTATTTCCGATTACATTTAATTCTTCGTTTTATTAAGATCTCAACTAGCTGAAATCAGCTTATATTTTTCTCAATTAGAAGTAGACTCATTTCCCAAGACAGAACTTTTTTAATCTTCTTGCCAGCCTCCTTCTAACCTCCCCTACAGATGAGTACCAAGTACAGCCTTCAGATCAGATTTTATAAATGAACTCACAGGAGAGTTTCCTGTCTGCCGCAAAACCCCTTCTATTAACACAAATTCCAACACCAACCTCCCCTGCTTCCTGTCCTTTTCCATCCCCCCTCAGTGAGAGTGGGGGGGGGTTACATCCTAAACAACCCCCTGGTTGTCTGAATTGCCAACCAGATTGATGACAAAAGCCTTATCATTAGGCTTCCCCTTCTGTATAACTTAAAAAGTAGAACATAAATCTACAGATGTAGTCTACTTAATTATAACTACAGCCAAGTGGTGCATACCTTTAATCCTAACACTCAGGAGGCAGAGGCAGGAGGATCACTGTGAGTTCGAGGCCAGCCTGGTCTACACAGAGAGTTGAAGGACAACCAGGGCTGTTACACAGAGAAACATTTTCATTCTCAAAAATGGAAAAAAAAGAGAGCCTGTTTTTAAGAAAATTATAAGACTGAACTTACAGCTAGAAAGAGATGATGAAAGAGAATCCTGAGACTAGCCCAGTGTGTAGGGGGGTGTACTTAGAATCCTGAGACTAGCCCAGTGTGTGTGGGTACCTAGAATCCTGAGACTAGCCCAGTGTGGGTGGGGGGTACCTAGAATCGTGAGACTAGCCCAGTGTTTGCGGTGTGTGTACTTAGAATTCTGAGACTAGCCTAGTGTGGGGGGGGTACCTAGAATCCTGAGACTAGCCCAGTGTGTGTGGGGGGGTGTACCTAGAATCCTAGCATTCGGGAGGCAGAGGCAGAGGCAGGTGGATCTTGAAGTTAGCTTGGTCTATACAGCTACACAGTGATACCTTGCCTTGAAGGAAAAACAATAAACAAAGAAAGAAACAAAAAAACAAAAGAAAGAAAAACCCAGGACTGCAAATTTTCTAATAAAAAAGATTGAGCTTGAAATGAAGGTATTAGAAGAGGTGGAAACTTCAGAAGCATTCCATCAAATAATCCTTCCAGAGCTAACATTATGAAATCTGATATTGCATTTGCTACAGCGAAGCTTGTGCACAGTGCCCAGCAGGAGGCCTCTCCATATTAAACTCCAAGCAAGAACTATGGAAGGACCAATGCGGAGAAAGCTTTGCTAACTCAAGGAGCTGGCACTCTCTCTTCAATGACAATGAAAACACAGGAATTAATTGTGACTCCGGAGACCAGGTCACCTAGAGATCAACTTCTGACTCAATTCTGTCAATTCGCTGAGCTGTGTGACCTGGAGATGAGCGACTGGGCCCCTCCCCGATTCTGGGCACTGGTCTAATCTGTTTACCAGGGACATTTGTCTTTGCATCTTTTTCCTGGCATCTCAAATGCTTTATGGGATGCAGAAAGGTATTAATAAATAATTCACTGAATTACAGTATTTAAAATCTGGTACTGGGCTGGAGAGATGGCTCAGTGGTTAAGAGCATTGCCTGCTCTTCCAAAGGTCCTGAGTTCAAATCCCAGCAACCACATGGTGTCTCACAACCATCTGTAATGAGGTCTGGTGCCCTCTTCTGGCCTGCAGACGTACACACAGACAGAATATTGTATACATAATAAATAAATAAATATTAAAAAAAAAACAAAACAAAACAAAACAAAAAAAATCTGGTACTGAACCAGGTAGTGTGGTGCACACCTTTAATCCCAGCCCTGAGGAGGCAGAGGCAAGTGGATCTCTGTGAGTTCAAGGCCAGCCTGGTCTACAGAACTTGTTCCAGGACAGCCAGGACTACACAGAGAAACTGTCTCAAAATAAACAAACAAAAACAAAAAACAAAAAGAAAGATAACTAACCCATAACAGTCAGCTAGAGCTTTACTTAAGCAAACAATTACCGAGCATGTCATTAATACAAGATTAAAGTCATTAGTAGCAGGCACAGGCAGGTTGGCATCATATTTCATTATTAGCATCATACATCTAGTATCTCATTTAATCTGCTAAAGATTTTAAAACAAAATTTCTACCTTTTGTGTCTCAGGATCTATTAGCCAGTTCCAGGCACCAGTAGCTGTACAGACAGACACCACTATAAGAAGCACTGGTGAAAGATAAACAGAAAATTAGTAAGCAAACACACCCTTCATCCCTTCATGTCTTGATACCCCTTCCATCGGTTCCTGACAGACACAGCCAAAGAATGCAGCACTTGATCAAACAGAGTAATGACCAGGCTCAAGAGTCAGACTTGCCATCTTGAGGAACTCTTTTCAACATTCTGAACCCTGGGAATGGAGGATTACAGCAACTTCTTCTTGGTTAGGATTCATGAAAATGAAGTCTAAAACGTAAAACCAAGAATTTCAAGCTAAGACTCAACATTAAAGAGCTTTCATAGTGGTTTTGCAGATCCTGTAAACTCACACTGAAAAGAGAAAGCCTTCCCGTTTTCTAATGGAAGCACACAAAGGCCCCTTTCTGAGCCACACTGTGGTCCTGTGATTCCTAGCCATGCAGGCTACTGCTGCTGGGTTAAACAAAGGGCAGTGTTGGAATCACTGAGTGTGATGTCACTGTTGAGCAGACCTGTCAGTACTGGTTTTTAAAAGGGGAGTAAAGAAAGGACTTAAAACTGGGCGGGCAGTGGTGGTGCATGCCTTTAACATTAGCACTGGGGAGGCAGAGGCAGGAGGACCTCTGTGAGTTCGAGGCCAACCTGGTCTAAGAATGAGTTCTAGGACAGACTCCAAAGCTACACAGAGAAACCCTGTCTCGAAAAATTAAAGAAAGAAAGGAAGGAAGGAAGGAAGGAAGGAAGGAAGGAAGGAAGGAAGGAAG